CGGCATTAGGAAGGTTGAGAACCATTGCTGTAGAGAATCTTAAAGCATCCTATATAATAAAAGGCTAATATGCAAATTGTCCCCTCGACCGGGAGTTCAACCAGGGGGCGGGGCCGACTGGCCAACCGCCCAAGGCCCCTCCCCTTGGCCGGCCCAGCCCAATCACCCTGATCCGGGTGGGCTGGCCAGACCCACCCAAGCACAAATTTGTGCATTGGGCCTCTAGTTTAAAATAAAAGAGTGACATGATCTTTTTTTTATTTTAGGCTGACCATTCTTGTAGCAGAGTGGAGAATTATAGGGAAATCTTATATTAATCTCTTTATAATTTTTGATATTCCATCAATCCTCCATGTATATGAAATAGGAATTTTACGGGGGATATAGGCAGTTTTAGGGAATTTTTAGAATTGGGGGTTCATAAAAAAAAAACAAAAACACAGGCTACAGACTGGGAGAAGTTAATTTCCAAAACACAAGGTAGCCAGGCACATAAGACAAGGGAGACTGGGAGAAGTTACATTTCCATAAGACAAGAAAGCAGCAACAGTTACATTTGCATAAGATAAGGGAACTGGGAGTAACAAAAGTTCTATATTTACAAAATAAAGGAGGAAGAAAGCCCAGAAGGCATAGAAGAACAATGAGGGAAGAGGGCATCACTTGTCCCATGTGATGTTTGACCTTTGAACTCAGGACTTACTATAGTAACCAATTCAAAAGGGAATATTGACCAATCAGAGGGGATATCAGGACACAGGCACTGCAGTCTTTATAAACTAGGGAAACAGGAAATCTATGGGAGTCTGTGCTGTGAGATTCTTTCCCCTTCCCCACATGGGCATCTGTACTTACTCTTCAATAAATTTCCACCTTTGCTATACCATCTTCAGTCCGTGGATTCATTCTTCGACTCAGATGAACAAAGAATCCGGGGAACACTACGTGTTCAGTCCAAAAATCACGTATCATATACACTCTATACTCAGAGCCTAACACAGTCTCTGGCATATTAACAGGTATTTGATAAGTATTCTGGAAAAACATTTCTCAGATGAATAATCTGCACCTCTTCTGAGAACAATTAGAACTATAACAGTGGCTTTCGAAGGGCTAAAGGTCCCAAAACAGAGACTTCTGAAATGCAAAAAACAAACAAACAAAAAACCTACACTAATAGCCATTAAACAAAATTTAGAGTAATATAAGAAATTTAAAGTTTGGAAGTAATTAGGGAAGGAATAGATGAATGCTAAGGGATACAAGTACCAAAAACAATCATTAGTGGAATTTGGAGGGTTGAATTACCCCAATTAATTTAATTTCCAAATTGGTATAGCAACACAAGCTGAGTAAAAGAAAATAAAATAGGATGCAATTTAGGGTCTAAAATAAAGTGTCTACCAAAGGTTCCTACTCAATTCTGGGAACACAGGTTTTGATTTGATGTAGTAAAAGAGGGAGCCCTGGGTTTCTTTCTGTATTTCATAATAGCCATCAACAGCTAAGTGTGTTTTGTTTCTGAAGTATATTAGTGAGTTATTTAGGTCTTAAAATGCATTTTTCTGTAAGAAAAGAAAACGTTCAATGGTGATTAAGTCCCCAAGTCAGTCAGTTAAAACCTGTTTAACCCTGACATAATTGGAATGTTCATTTGCAATAAAAAGCAGAATACGCATCACTTCCATATGAGGACTTAGACAAATTTTAAAATTACTACAGTATTGAATAAGAAAGAGTTTTATTTATATTAGATGCTGGTACTTGAGAGGGAAGTAAGAGAATTAAAAAGCATTCGAACCCCTTCAGAAGAAGGAGCTTAATTTCTCCCCTAACCTTATACAGTAGGGCCTTGACTTACGAGTTTAATGCGTTCCGAGACCGAGCTCCTTAAGGAGCTCGTTAACTCAAATTACTCTATCAACTCAATGCAAAAAATCGGCGAGAGACAGCTGGTACCTCAAAAAACTCGTTAGTCGGGACACTCGTAAGTCAAGGCCCCACTGTACCTTGAGTGTGACCTGCACTTTAATAACTCACTGCTGAAGAATAGAGTTTGAGAAGGGAGGGGGAGTAAAGAAATGTTCCAGTGGAGAAACTGGAAAACATTTCCTTGGCTGGGTAATGTAGTCAACATTGACAGTGATAAATCACGTTGATAGCAGGTATCCCTAAAAAAAATGGGATGAAGACAATTCTCTGCGGTCTCCCCCTATACCTCCCCCAAAATACCACCTACGACCCTAGTCTCAAGTACCAGGAGTGGTCTGAATTTTTAAAATCGATCACTTCATTAATTCAATAAATACTGATTGCACACTTCCTAGCGTCTGAAACTGTGATCTATGTCGCTGCCCGCAGGAAGTGAGCATAGTGGGGCCTTAAGTGAGCCTGGACTTTGACATCCAACTGGCACAATTTCATCCTGGACTGGAATGCTTACCTTTGGGAAAGTGGTTTTTTTGAACAGCATTCTCTGAGCTTCACTCTTCTCAACTAAAACTATATTTGAGATATTATTTTTCTTTTTGTGATGGCTGTGAAAATGCTTTTAAAATTAGAGACAATGTCAACAATATGGACGGTAAGTTGATATATATATTATACAGTAATCCTGGCACCTGGAAGATGAGCATAAAAAGTAGAGAAGATACTAATTATTTTTTTCAAAAGCTTTTAGTCTAGTCCAGGCAAACAGGTACAAATGCTAGTAATATAGTATGAAAACATATTAGCAATATGTATAAAAGATAGAATAAGAACTCAAGGTCAAGTATAATTAAACCCCTGGAATCAGAGATGTCTTTGCAGGGAGATAATGTTGGGTGAGGGTTCCTAAAGAATTAGCAGAGCAAGTAGAATTTCTAAGAATAAAGAGGCATAAAAGATATAGCATATTTACTAAACTATCTAAAATTAAATTTCACAAAAAGTAAAGACAAGATAACTTTCGAAACCATGAATCTAAATGGAATATACTCAAGATGGTTAGTGAAAAAATAAGTCCACTGAAATCCTTTAAAAAAAATGTTGTTTATCTTAAACTCATACCTACCTCTAACCCTAATTCTAACTTTACCTCAACTCTAACTTTCTTCCTAATTCCAACACTAATCTTAACACAATTAATCATAACCCTAATACTAACACTAACCCTAAATATAACCCAAACCTACCCTGACCGTAGTCCCTAATCCTAACCCTACACTAACTTAAAATATAACCCTAATTTGAGCCATCACCAAAATCTTGTGTTGTAACATAAAAGTTTCTGGTATTGACATGGGCAAATTCTTCCCACAACACTTGACCCCCTACCTTTAATCCTCCTCTAGATTGGCTCCCTGGGCTTTAAAGAATCACAGAGAGCAGATCCTTAAGTGCCTAGAGACTGGTGCTCACCTCCTATCTCCTCCTCATGAATCTTCTGGCAGCAGGAGGGCCCTTTGAAGTCTGAGGGAGAACTGGGCTGGGCCTGGATCCAGAGACTGCTGAACTCTTTTTCCTAATTAAGCTCCCGGGTTCCTTGAGGAAGAGTATGATAGCAAATTGAGGTGATTCACACATGCTTATACTTCAGAAAATATGAAAGCAGGGAAGGCAGTGGAAATGGAAATTCCCTCGTTTGTCTAATGAAACTGGAGGTAATTGAAAAACCCAGTGGCTTTACATTTCAACTTTGCTTCTTCATAATTTAGATGTAGATTTAAAGTGTTTTTAATTATTCTGATAAAAAAGATATGACTAAACAAAAATTAAAATGACTAATGATGGAATAATTCTCTTTTCTCTCATATTTTCTCTCATGTGGCACTTAAAAAAAAAAAGCAAAGCAAAGAAAAACACCCAGCAACACTCAGCCAGAATTATAATAGATATTTAATGTTTTAGTGCTTCTGCTGCTTCCAAAATGTATGTTATAGATAAATTGTGGAAACATAATAAACCATTTGTCAGGAAGAATAAAAATATGATAGTCTTTTACCTAAACAATCTCAGGAGAATTTGAATTCAATTGAACTAAATTAAATCATGACACAATTTTTAAGGTGATAATAAACAGACATTAGTAAAGCATCCACCAAAATATATAGATGTTATTTTGAACAATGGGAAAATCTGAAGGAATTGTATAAATACATTAAAAATGTACAGAGGATGAATGTGAATAATTAAATTAAATAGCATAAAAAGCCTAGCAAAATAATTTCTCTACTCAAAAGCAGTTTTTATTTTCTAAATTTACAAAGGTTACATCTGATTGTCTGCTACACATAGGAGAAAGAATAGAGAGAATTGTGAAAGAATTTTCAGAAGGCAGATTCAAATGAGAAATTTGGTTCACTTAAACTTGCAAGGGATACATAGTGAATATTGTGTGAACTGCCCACCCATAATAGCCTCCCCAAGAATTTGAAATTCCCTGGAGTTAATTACTGAGTAGATGTCACATCATGCATTCAACACAAAATGTTATTTAATAGACAAGTTATAACCAAAATTGGCATGCGCTTCATTCACAGAGACTCTCATTCTGGTTGAGCCCTGGGTATCATTAAGTCCAAGGACACTGAGGTCAGTTGGACTTTGTTCTTTGCTTTCAAAACTTGGAGGAAGTAGACTGGGTTCTCTGAATCAAGAAAATGGGTTTCTACAGCTTTTTTCATAGGTGATAGTTCTGGTCCAAGAGGTACTTCACGGTGAAAAAGAGGATCTGGCCAGGGTTGGGGTGAGGAAAGTCAAGACTTGTTACTGCTATGGTTTTAGCATCGACAGAGGGAAGAGAGACATAGCTTTAGATTCCTGAATCTTGTGTTGCACTTGAATCCTGAAAATAATCTTGTTGATAATAAAAATTAGTTGAAGCCCTGGAGCTGGCTGGTAGACCAAAGTGTTGTTGCCCAGTCATCAGTGCGGATAGTTATGCTTCCAACGGTGTTGAAAACATCAGTATAAAGACCTATAAGAGATGAGGAATGTGGAAAAGGACACATGATCTTCAGATAGTTATGCTTCCAACGGTGTTGAAAGAGATGAGGAATGTGGAAAAGGACACATGATCTTCACTCAGAAACACTGGATCAATAACCATGCAGCTAGCTGCTAATCAGAGTCCCCTGGGGTATCAGGGTAGAACTTCCTACTCTTGGCCACCCATGAAAGGGCATGGCAAATCTTAAAATGGGATCTGTCTATGGTTGTGCTTTTCAAAGATGTACATAAGTCAGGTAAAACCAATGAGTGAAATAAACTTGTATTTTGAGGCTTTAAAAAAAATTGAGGTGCATAACTTAGCTTGTTGTTCTGACAACACATTGTAAGAAATCATTGAAGGTTCCCACACCATAGAATTTTATTGACATAAGTTCACCATAAAAAAAACCTTGTGGCCGAAACTGGTTTGGCTCAGTGGATAGAGCGTCGGCCTGCGGACTGAAAGGTCCCAGGTTCGATTCCGGTCAAGGGCATGTACCTGGGTTGCGGGCACATCCCCAATAGATGTGCAGGAGGCAGCTGATCGATGTTTCTAGCTCTCTATCTCTCTCCCTTCCTCTCTGTAAAAAATCAATAAAATATATATTTTTTTAAAAAACCTTGTGTAGTGTTCATTTTTTGTTATAGTAATAAAAACTGTTATGTGTCCAAAGTGAATATATTCAAATATATATTGTTGGAAAAGACTCAAATGAACAAAATTCAATACCTTGTGGCATCCTACCCATCATCTAAATGTGATAAACAACAACGATAGCAACTTTCTTGCAAAGTAATGGTTAAATGATAGGATCAAAGTTGTTAGATTAACTCAATAAATACTTGCCATTCCAAAAATACTTTTATTCCTCTACAGATCTTTTTACCCTAATAAATTTTAAAATCTCCTGACTAATGGTTTCCTGAATAGATGACATTTTAGAGTGATTTATTTACTAATAATGCCTCATAGTTAAATATATACAGACATATGTGAGTATCTATATACCTACCTACTTATTCAGAGTCAGATATATTAAATATCTATATGAAGTGCAGAAAGTGTAAGTGCAGAAAGAGAAGGGGCCTTTTTCTTTGTTAAAAGTGGATAACCCATTCTTCTATATGTGCCTCTTCTTTCCTTTTCAAATAAATCATTTCTAGTTATTCATTCAGTTGATGTCCCCAACATTCTACTAGTATTCATATAAACAACTTGGAAAATACTCTCCTTCTTAATGGCCTGGAACTATAATCTCCAAGGAATATCTCTAAAATTAGAGATGGAAGTTGCCACCCTCACTCCTTAATCAAAATAAAAAAACAATATATCAGAATGTGTTTTAAGGTCAAAATACAGCTATTCTGCATGTTGTAGAACCATAATAGATGAGCACACTGATTAGACAGACAGGTGTGGTAAAGGCCAGCTCCTTGGCCACAAGAAACAATATAGTTACTAAAGGAAAGCATCTTTATCCATAATGGAAAATAAGATTAGTCAGGGTTTATTTAGACATGAAAATTAAATATGGTAAGAAGAGAATTAACATTACATACAATGAATGAAAGCATCGCAATGCGGCCAAGCACACAGCTAGTCACAACAAAGTGGTTTATGTAATGAGTACTGATACTAAGTAATGAGACTATACTCCTAGGATCAGAGTTAAGATATGTACCAGGCCCTACAGAAATTATATTTCTGAAGAACTAATAGTATGCCATTATTTGTCTACTTAGATCCTCCGAGGAACCACTTGAATTATAACTTATTAGGACACACACAAAAAAGGAGAGGCACTTCCAGGAAGAACTGGTGACTTTCTGTTGGGAAAAAGTATACAGCTATAGAAGATGGTCCAGTCAATAATGATTCCTGAGTGTGCATGAACAAAAAGCTTTCATCTTAATTCTTAAATTAGTGTTATCACACATAAACTTTGTATTAAGCAAATGACTCCTGTGAACACAGAACAAATCAGGACAAACATTTGGTCTACAGAGAAAAATCAAGAGAACTTGGGTAATATCAGGATCTGGGTCTGATATTTGAAAGTTCCCATGTATATGTAGAACACTGCAGGTATATTTTTCTAGTCAATTTTCTGAAACCTCTACAATTCTTATTTCTGATCATAGCAAGAAGCAGATGCCAAATCTTATGAGAAAGGCTGTTCACAGGGTATTTCTAGCCTGTCTGAAAATAGGAAGTGCTAGAAATTTCATAGGAAAGTCAGTTCTTGTTAGCTTTCAAATTCAATTTCTGCAGACCAAAGTGATCTGGATAATTAAAACCTGAGAAAAACAATAATATCATAATTATTTTTAAAAATGGTAATAATCAAAGTGAGGAAGCAGTAAAATATAATGAAATGCCACTAGAAAGTAGGTCAGAAAACCAGAAATTTCTTTCTAATCCTTAAATTTACTGTGAAACCTTGGACAAATTATTTAACTTCCTTTAGTCTCAAATTTGTAATCTTTAAGATGAGAAGGTTATGCTAAATCAGTAGTTCATATATTTAACTGCCTAATAGTTTCTTCAAAATAAATATTCTGTGGATGTTAAATAGCAAAATCATAAAAATGGAGATGCTATTTTTGAAGAGGGTGGTTGTCACATACCACATGTTCAATGAACACTTGTTGAATGATAGACTCTCAAACTCTGTAAGAGGCAGCTGAAGAACTCCACAGTGTATTTGCCTAAATTATTTTTAAAAATTTGAATAAAGAGTAAAGACCTTTTCTGACATAGAAAGATCCAAAGAGAGCTTTAGGAAAACTACAACTAAAATGAAATAGATGTATGACTCTTCCTTAGATATCTGGGAAGTTGCATTCATTAGCATGCTTGGGTTGCCAAAAGCAGAAAACATGATGCAAGCTGGTATGAGCAAACCTGGTAATATACTGATTAATGTAATAAATCATGGTAGAGCCCTGGCCGGTGTGATTCAGTAGAGTGTTGGCCCACACACTGAGGGGTTGTGGGTTTGATTCCCGGTCAAGGGTATGTACCTGAGTTGCAGGTTCGATCCCCAGCCTCAGTCAGGGTGTGTGTGGTGGTAACCAATTGATGTGTCTCTGTCACATTGATGTTTCTCTCTCTCTCTCTCTCTCTCTCTCTCTCTCTCTCTCTCTCTCTTTCTCCCTTCCTCCCTCCATTCCACTCTCTCTAAAAATCAATGGAAAAAATACCCTGGGGTAAGGATTAAAACAACAACAATAAAATCATAATAGACCTAGCTTCAGGAGAGGCTTGATCCAGAGGTACCAGGTTGCTAAGTGCAGGCTTTCTTTGAAGTTCTCTCAGCATTGGCTTCCCCTCTGTGTGTTCATCATCTCCAGGCCCACTCCCCTCCTGATAGTATCGAAGCTGCAGCAGTTCAGACCTTAAACCCATAGCATGCTATGCAGAGAAAGAAACTCTCTCTTTTCTGATAGCTCCCCCAAAAGAAAGGTTGCTTCTTTTCCAGAGGCCCCTCAGTGAGCATCGCAGTCTCATTGGCCCAAATTGCAGCACGTGTTCATCCATAACCAATCCTGGATGAATGGAGCATGATTGAGCCAGCCAAGGCTGACTTCTTCCCTGGGGCATGAGGGCAATCCTATTCAAATGACACAGGGAATTTATGGAAAGAAGAGGAGGAGAGGCCTCCCAACAAATGTCCAGTTCAGCTATTAACATTATTAATGTAATGCATTGCTCTATTTATCTATATAGATATAGTAAAGAATTTTTGGAGAAAAAAAAAGTGTGTGCACATATGGTCGTTACTCATCTCATCTTATTAAAAGCTACATGGATGATCAGCTTCTAGGTATAAGGACAAAGTCTTAGATAAAAAAGTTAAGTATGCGCTAGCTTGAGTTTATCGAAAATATACACAGACAACAAACTCACAGCGTGACTCTCCATTTGTTCTTTACTTACACATCAGCCTAGTAAAGTACTTAATATTGCCCATGAATGGATTACATATTAAAGAGCTTCAAACTCTACCATGTTATTAATGTGTTGTTTTGACATTCTTCATAAATAATTATGATACCCTTATAATTCACATGAAGAATCTGGGAAATAAAATGAGAATTTACTTGAAAAAAGAGAAGCACACGGAGAATAAGTGCGGACAAAATCAAAGCAGATTCGCTGGTAGAGCTTCATAACAAGGAAGCGTCATACTCCATTAATCATCTGTGTGGGGAGAAAAAAATCCAAACGTGCTTGCCTTGGGTATAGCCCAACGAATTCAAGAGGCAGTTAGCAAATATGCTCACTAATTGCAAGAATGAATCCCCACTTCACCTGAAACCCAACCATCCTGCTCATGCCCTGAAGATGAACTAAATTGCTATTTCTGGTATTCATCCTACACACCAGGAAAAAAATCATTGCCTGCTGTCTATGACTTTCTCCAAGCCACACAGGCAATAGATACCCTCTGAAAACCCGCTTTTTGCTCCCAGGTGTATTAGCTGTCATGAGAAGAGAAGGGAAAGATTTAGGATTCTTGTGGAGAACTTTTAAATTTAATTTTATTTTATACAAATATTTGTTTGGTCTAAAATTCTACAGCAGGCATAAATATCTGGCTCTTTGAAGATATCAGTTGGCTTGTGAATGGCAGGTACTAACTGAGGAATAATGAAAATAGCTGTTAAAAATGCAGGGAAAATATACACTTTCTTTGAAATGTAGTTCAGAATAGTGAGAAAGGAAGCTGAGGTTTGAACTGCATGGCTGCAGAATGGCCGATGTACATGCAAAAGCATTCTGCCAAGGACAGGGAAAGGGGCCCCTAGCTGGAGAACGTTAGGGTCCCTGGAGGAGCCAAAATGTGCTCACAAGGGTTGAGTACACCTCAGTGATAACTAGGGCTGAAGCAGTGGGCCTGATGAAGTTCCCACAACAATCTTGTTCCATTCATTTTTTTGTAATTGATATCAAGGGGCAAGGGAGAGGGAGAGAGAGGTGGA